AATTTTGATATTTTTCGATTGCTTTCAATTGGGTATTGTCTCTTTAGCATAATGCGACATATTTGTTGTGATTTTGGGCAGATTAGTCGCACGAGGAGGGTAATTTGAGAGGCAAGGGCATAACGAGCTAGACTTTGACCGTCTTGAGGTGAGTAATTGATGTAAATGATGTCCTGAGGGTTTGAAACCCCAAAATTTCACATCGTAACGCTATATTGAGGTTACTTGCACGCCGGATAACGGGCGTGGGGTAGAGTACCGTTGGGGATTATGACTTGGTCCGTCCCGAGATATGTTTTTACCGTGTTTTCTACCTGAACTAAATTGAGAATCATACTTACTTGGATTTAATTGTTACATTTGGGCTTCTTGCCAATTATTTGAATCCTTCAGGGATTGATATCACTGCTTTCGCATATTTTGCATATCATTTGACCTCAGTCCAAGGTTTTAAATACTGTTTTGCAAACTCAGCCATCATTCTAAGATTTGAAAACTTAAATGATATTTCGGGCTGAGAACTATTGTTTTACAAATGCCCAAGGGGCTTATGATGATTTTTGGACTGAGCATGGATCGGGCTGCGCGCCGCATCACTGTTATATTGATATTGAGGCCGAGAGCCTGGTTGATTACATTGATATTGACGCTGAGAGCCTAGGCGATTATACTGAGATTGATATGAGGCTGAGGGCCTAGATTTGATGCCACGAGATGGCTTGATATTGCGCTTGGGTTGTAGGAGCCCCTTCGGAGTCTGCACACACCCCTAGTGAGCGCCGTCAACGATAAATAAATGGATGGCTCGGGCTGCACACCGCAGTGGGTACTAGAGTGTACCATCATATGCATTGCATTGCACTCATGCATTTATTTTTATCTGTTATACATGTCTCAGTATTTGGTACTCTGACTTAATTGACTTGTTGCTTCACTATTGGTTGTTCTAAACTGCCAGTTATAGTTTACTTTGTATTTTTGTATGATTTCTTATTCTCAGTCTTTATTTATGTTTATTACTCACTGGGTCGGAGTACTCACATTACTCCCTGCACCTTGCGTGCAGATCCAGGTACACCACAGGCTGAGTGAGGATTTGTTTAGCTGAACAACAGTATCCGAGAGTATTGAGGTAGCTGCATGGCATTCATAGCTTTATCTCTCCCCTCTATCTCTATCTTTTATTCCGTATTTTTCCTAGACAGACTTGTTATAGGTGAATATTCTGTATTAGAGGCTCATATTCGTGACACCGGATTCTGTTGGGCTATGATGTGGTATTTTAATTGAACCTCCGCAGATTTTATTATTAATTATACACTTGAATGAAATGACTTAGTAAATTCTCTATGATATTTTATCTATAATCTGAATAAGAATTTAGGATAATGTTGTTGAATGGTCGGGCTTGCCTAGCAGTGTGTTGGGCGCCATCATGACCGGGGTTGGGGTCGTGACACAAATGCATTTTTTTTATAGAACTCTTTCCTACATGTGCATATCAAAGTCTGTAAACGAATCCTAATGTCTTCATTTGTTTTAAGAATGGCTATGAACAATCAAGTGATGATCTTCAAATGCTTTGATTTGGGAGAGGGTGGATCAATAGAGGTTTGATATTAGTTTGTTGTTAGACTAAGTTTACTGGTGTATCAAAATGAGCTGTAGTAATTTCTCATGCATATTTGTTTTCATAATCCGATAATGGTTTGTGCAGAGCAATTTAACAACTTTAACAGAAGTTTCTTCATTTCTTTTGGCAGCGATCAAGTTTAGCTAAAGAGACGTCTAGGCTTGAAAAAACTATTGATTATATATGCCCCCCAAAATAGGGAAGCATCAATGCTCTGAAGAAAGAGGTGTCAAAATAAAACAAAGACACCGTGATATATATAGAGAGAAGTCGGCGGACAGAAGAGAATTAAACTTAATGCAACAACGAATGGTATACCTTCATTCTACCACACATAATCCTATTGGTAATTCCACCGAGGTACCAACTTCTTGCCAATTTAGCAAAGAGCAGATTGAGAATACAGTTGGTGTAAGAGGAGCCTCATCTTCTCTCTTGTACACAAGTTAGTACAGTATTAGTTTTTTAGTTAATAACTTGCTTCTTATATGTGTATGTTTTAATTTATATGTCCATACATCAATTGACTTGTTTTCTCTTTGTCTGTCTTAGCAAATGGGAACTCAGTTGATGCTTCCGTTATTTCTGATAATGGCAGAGATATAGGTAGTAGCTCATGCGCTTTTGAAGTTGGTAAGCCTGGAACAATGGTGTTATTTGTAATTTCTTTTACATATCCAAACTTATGTGATAATTCATTATATATTAGGGTCCACCTCAGAAACGTGCACTGAACAATACAACATTACGTCACATACAACATCATAGAAAGGTTTCTTTTCATCTACCCTTCAAATCATTTTTGTCATTTTTTCTCCTATATTTTCCTTTCCTAAAATTTGAGATATACAGGTCGTAAAAATAGAATATTGGGTCATTGCAACACTAATGAATTGCCTAATAGCTCTTTCAGACTCAAACCTGTATCAAACTATGAATTTTGTAGAGCCAAAAGATTTGAATATGAACCACCGGGATTTTGTTGTGACAATGTTTCAGTGAAATTGATTCACTATGGAATGCCTGCTGAATTGCTAAAGCTTTATTTAGGGAACTCTGAGGAATGTGAATATTTTCGCACTTATGTTAGAATGTATAATAACATGTTCGCATTTACTTCTCTTGGAGTAAAATATGACAGAGATTTAGCAAGAAGAAATCGCATTATTTATACATTTAGAGTTCAAGGAAAAATGTATCATTTTATAGATGACTTGGTGCCCTCAAGTCAACCGGCTAAAAATTTACAGTTTTATTTCTACGATACAAATAATGAGGTAGCAAATCGGATGGCATTCTCTGACAAGCTTAATGAATCAGTTATCAGAACTTTGATGGACACATTAAAAATGAACCCATACTCCATTTTCTTGAAATCGTAAACAGATATTTCAGAATTATCCAACTTCTATATTGCGCTGAAGTCTGACTCTGGTTTAGATCAAAGAATATATAACTTACCAACATCGTCAGAATTAGTAGCAATATGGATGGAAGATGAGAATAGTTCCAATATTTCTTTACCACGCATTCGAATTTATACACATAGTTGTAAGATCCAATTAGTAAATTATTATTACGGCTGTTATGATCCGTTGCAGTATCCATTACTATTTTCTTATGGACAAAACAGATGGCACTGTGGTATTAAAAAGATTATTCAAAAGAACAATACTATTAGTACTTGAATTTACTGTAAACATGAGCAACTTCCGAATGTAGAAAATATGTCCTCAATTGACATGTTTCTTCATATGGAAGCAGAACTTCTGCAAAAAAAAAAGAAACAAAAAAGAAATATTGTATCTTGCTGTGAGTATTATTGCTATAAGATTCAAATGAGGGATGACGAAGAAAATCAAGTTTTACATGCTGGGAGAACGTTTAAACAGTACTCAGTTGATCAATTCATCAAACTTGATACTCAAAGGTTAGATTTATATTCACTTAACCAAGATTTATTTCGAGTTGATGCATTAGCTTCTTAATGTTCTCTGACACGGAGAGAGAGATGCATCAAATATTGGTGAACAAAGTTTTTTTCCTGCGAGTTTTGTAGGAGGTCCTAGAGATATGCATCGAAGATATATGGATGCTATTGCGTTAGTGTAACATTTTGGAAAACCTGATATATTTTTGACAATGACATGTAATCCATCTTGGCCTGAAATAGAAGAACATTTATTGGTAATAGCTGAGGTACAAAATCAGCCTGATTTAGTTAGTCGAGTGTTTAGAGCGAAGGTAGAAGAGATGAAAACAGATATACTAAAGAGAAACATATTTGGTAGAGTTGCAGCTTTTATGTATACTATTGAATTTCAGAAGTGCGGTCTTCCACATGCTCATTTTCTTATCATACTCAACAACAAATATAAATTGTTAACTCCAGAAGCTTATGATAAAATTATTTGTGCCGAATTGCCTGATCGTGATACAAATGATTACTTGTATACACTTGTTACTAAACATATGATGCATGGACCTTGTGGCAACTTAAATCCTAAATGTCCTTATATAGAAAAAAAAGGATATTGTAAGTTTGAATATCCAAAAGAATTTGCTGATCACACATCTAAGGGAAAAGATGGGTATCCAATATATCAAAGACGAAATACAGGCAAAGTTGTAACTACTAGAGGCCAACTTCTTGATAACTCCTGGGTGGTTCCTTACAATCCATATCTATTGAGCAAATTTATTTATCATAGTAATGTTGAAGTTTGTTCCGATATTAAAGTTGTCAAATATCTTTATAAATATATTTGCAAGGAACATGATAAAATTGCTTTTTCATACATGCTGATGATCCAAATATTGAAATAGATGAGATCAAACAATATCAATCTGCTAGATGGGTTTCGCCGCCAGAGGCAACTTGGCGTTTATTTGGTGTTCCCATAAGCGAAATCATCCCAACAGTTTACCATCTTCAGGTACATCTTGAAGGACAACAATTTGTCTCTTTTAAAATCACATAGACCATAAATACAATTGTAAGTAATCCCATGATTAGGAAAACAATGTTGACTGAACTTTTTTGATGAACAGAGAAAACAAAGATGCTAAGAATCTAAAGTTACTTTACAAGGAATTTTCAAAATATTTTGTATGGTCCAAACAATATAGGATGTGGACACGTCGATAACGGGGTACTGTTATTGGACGTATTGTGACATGTCATCCTACAGAGGGGGAGAGATACTATCTTCGATTGTTATTAATGAATATTAGAGGACCAAAATCATATCAACATTTGCTAACTATAAATGGAGTATGTTGCATTACATTTAGAGAAACCGCAGAGAGAAAAGGATTATTACAATGACACAATAACTTGGTTGACTGTATGTCAGAAGCTGTAAGATATCAAATGCATTATAGTTTAAGACGTTTATTTGCTACGTTATTGGTGTATTGTATTCCTGCTAATCCGAAAGAACTTTGGCACAAATTTGAACATTCTATGTCTGAAGACTTTAAGATTACGCCAAATTTGAACAAGAAACAGATTCGTCATATGACTTTAAACAATATTAATGACATTTTGCATTCAATGGGTCATGACATAAGTGAATTTATACTTGTACCTGAAAGAATTTCAGCTTCATCAGCCGCTAAAGAGGCTCAGGATTCTTATTTTGAAAGAAATATAATTCTTAGAGAAGAAGATTTGTTGTTGGAAGCAAAATTGAATAATGAACAACGAGAAGCATATAATATAATTCTTGACAGAATATTTAAAAATAAACCTGGAGCTTTTTTTATAGATGGTCCTGGAGGAACAGGAAAAACTTTTTTGTACCGTGCAATACCTACTGCTATACGATAAAAAAGATTTGTAGCTTTAGCAACAACAACCTCTGGTGTTGCAGGTTCAATTCTTCCCGGAGGACGAACTGCTCATTCCCGTTTTAAAATTCCTATTGATATTGATGGACAATTCTCATATAATATTAGTAAACAAAGTTCGTTTGTATTATTGATACAAGATGCCAAATTAATCGTATGGGATGAAGTATTAATGGCCAAAAAAGAATTGATAGAGGCTTTTGATTTACTATTAAAAGATCTAATGGATACGAAGATACTATTTGGTGGAAAAGTTGTTGTTTTTAGTGGTGATTTCAGAAAAACTCTCCCAGTTGTTCGTAGTGGAAAAAAGGAGGACTTCATACAAGAAAGTTTGCTATGTTCTGACATTTGGAATCAACTCGAAAAATTGCGATTATCAGTAAATATGCGAGCGAGAACAGATTCTGCGTTTTGTGAATATTTGATGAAAATAAGGAGCGGAAAAGAAAAAAACAAATTGGCAAGGTAAGATTGAAATCCCTGATCGTTTCATTATTCATTTATTCGTGAAAAAGAATCGTTGAATCTTTTATTTAGAGTAACTTTGTTACACCTTGTGTATTCGGCGTTATCATGCTGTAAATGGGCTAATTCGATAGGAAGATAATTTCTATGAGATATTTAAATGATGCGATAGTTATACGTTAAGATTGGAAGTCATTTGAGTTGTGATTAAAAATTCGACAAAGATCGCGCAAAAGTTACGGGTTTAAATTTCACTGGAATTTGGATAAAATGTTGATGAGCTTTTCTCTCAATATACTAGGAGTTATGGTGTGTTCTACCTACCGAATCGAAGGTCTATGGGTCTAGTTTCCAACGCAATAAACCGTTTGTTAATACGACTTTGGAGTAGAGAGATATTAACATTTTCGTACAGTGGTGCACAATGTTACGGGAACAGTGTGCCTAGTCGGGTTTAGTCAAAATTTCTTTATTTATGTCAATTTTTAAAACAGAACCCCTGCGTTTTATCCTCTCCAAAACCGAACCAAGAACCTAGAGATTTCCTCTCAAACTCCTCCCATCCATCTAGCCAATCATAACAACAATTTAGTCATCCTCAAGATGGAGAACACCATGGTAGCTTCGGAATCGTGAATTCTTCGGTGATTCACTTTTCATAGCAAGACTCCGCCTTGAAGTAATTTCGAATTTTGAGTAATTCTAGTCACATAAGGTATGATTTAACTTCCTCTTTGATCTTTGTAAACTTCTACCATAAGAATTCCTAAGAAATAGTTGAAACCTCTATAGAAATGTTCTTGATTTTGTTAAGAAACCTCTCTTAATCTGGCTTGATTGTTGGGGATGTTCTATAGGGTTTTACTGTATTGTTTGGATCTGTGAAGACATGGATGGAATCTTGTCGATAAGGAGATGTAGTAAAGTAAAATTTGGTGGTGTGTTGGGGGGAAATTAATCTACAAAAGAGTCTACAAATTCATGGCCACAAGTTTTTCGCGTAAATGTCTAAATGAAGAATTATATAAGTTATGAGCTTGAATTTGATTTTGAATGGTTAGTATTATGTAGGAAATCATTCCTAAGGCTTTCAAGGTCTCGGAAACAGTATATAACTCCATCGACAAGGTATGTAGGGCTTTCGCTATACTTTTCAGCATGACTAGAATTCAAATAAATGTTTATCGAATTGTTTTGTCGGATTCGAGTTATTTCACCTTCAACTTATAAAGATGCTTAGACCTGATCCTTTCTCATAGAGTGTTTACTTCAGAGAATATCTATGAATTTTCGGTTTTCCTTGTTCCTTGTTTAAAAAAAACTAGAGCCTTTTTACTCGTTCTCATTTCGACATTCATATAAGTCATGAATAAGGAACACTTACATCAAAGGTATTCATAATACATAACTCTCATGTTCTTAGTACTTGTTGGCTCGTAGTTGAAAATTAAATATTTTAGCCACAGCCATGATAGTCGGGGAATAATGATGATAGGCCACTTCGACTCTTCTTAGAATACGTCTTTTAAGGTTGGTTTTGCATTGCACCTATATAATTCATGATTTAGTATATGTATGTATTTACTTTCATTACCGAGCCGCACTATAGACGGCCGGTTATGACACATATTGTGTAACCACTGATCAGTTGGGATTACCGAGCTTCACGTGGCCGGGTACGATTCTATCAAGCCTTTATTATGGCCGGGTATGTTATGGCTATTATAGCCCCACAGAGGGATTTATTATTATATAATGTGATATATTATAAGTAGCGATAGTGAACGACGGTTTCACGAGCATACATTTATATCCATGTTGAATTTTAGTTTCCTACCGAGGCTAGTTTCAGAATTCAAATTGTCTCTATGTCTCTTCTCTTGTTAATTACATTTTTCGTGTTACACATGTCGCCCTACATATTCAGTAAATATTTCGTACTGACGCATTTTTATGCGCTGTGTTCATGCCCACAGGTTCGGATAGACAGAGCGGCGTGCCTCCTCATTAGGACCCCCAGGATTAGCGTTGGGTTTCGCACTCCACTTCTTCGGAGTTGCTTACTTTGAGTCCATAGGTACTATTACAGATGTATATGTGTGGTTTTGGGCATGTCAGTGGCTTTGTCTCGTCCTATTGAGATTGTCTTACACTCTTAGAGGCTTGCAGACTAGCGGTCATTGTATATATTTTTCGTATCGCCCTATCGGCCTTCTGGACAGCTGTTATACTGTTGTTGCAGCCTTGTTGGCCTAGTTTATATATATATATATATATATATGTCGTGTTGGGCTCTTCTGCCTGCAGGTTATTATATTTCAAATCATATCTTATGGTTGGTTTGCTCGGGCTTTCGGGCATCGGGTGCCAACCACACCTCCCAAGGTTGGCATGTGACAAACTTGGTATCAGAGTAGGTCAGTCCTAGGGAGTCTGCAAGCCGTGTCTAGTAGAGTCTTGTTTATGGTGTGTTGTGCACCACACTTATAAACATGAGGCTATTGGGAATTTAGGATTATTACTTTCTTCTTGATCTAGATCGTGCAATAGAGCCTAATCATAAGTGTTCATTCCTAATTCTCTTTTTGTTTACCTTCTCAGTGATGCCTAATAATACGAGACGACAAGTGGCTATGAAATTTATTCAGAGGTTGGATGAGGAGGCGGGACAGGGCATAAGTCAACTGCCACCTACTACTGTAGATCAACATTGTCACGACCCAAACTGGAGGGCCATGACTAGCACCCGACCATACTTGTCGAGCACCAACGTATATTTCATCTAACCTTCATTATTATCTTTTAGGGCTGACGAGATCAATATAAATGGTAGACCGTGATCATGGACAACCAGCAATAAAATATGACGGTATGAACATACATAGCAGGGGATGACCAGGCAATCAAGAAACTATATATAAGGTATTAGCTACCACGCTACCATGAAAGACTATATAACAAAA